CAATTTCATGCAAGCGAAGAAAAGCTAGCGGTTACCCCCACTTCATCGATTTCCGACATTGAGCGAAGACACGCTCGAAGTTCGATATGGTCGAACTATTAGCGAAGCAACGCTCAACGCCGACAACAGTGAGTGAGTGCGTGCGTCCCGTAGAAAAATTATTTGTGGGTTAAGTTGCTAATTAAATAAAAGCTAAAAATTATAAATATGGCTGAAGGGACCGATGAATGTTTCACAGCGCCAGAAAATACAAACGTTAGTATATATTTTATACTATATAGTTACAAGTAAACTTATAGGTTAGATTGCTCTTTATTTCTTATTTATTTATGTATAATATAGATTTATTTGTTACATTGTGTTAATTAGTATTTCTTATATTGTAGGAAAATCTATTAAAATCCTACACAGGTGATATGTGCGAAACCATTTGTAATATAAATGAAGTAAATGATCATCCTTGCATGGAAGAATACAATAACGTTTATATTGATGAAAATTTATAAATGTATCCTCAAAGCGGTGAGTATTAGTGACATTTTTTTATTACATATTTTTTTGCTTACACAAGTAGCATTAGTGGATGTTGTAATGTGCAGCTGACGGAAAAATTATTCGAAAAAGTTTGGTGAAGAATAACGAGGTGATCGTGATGGAGACCACCCAAATCCAAAACCGAGAGACCAATAGCAATTGGCAAAACCAAAAAGTTATACAAGAGGAACAGCTCATCGAAGAAATTCGCAAACGTCCTGCGCTGTGGAATTTCAAGGGCGGCAGGCGAGAGAGAGACAGGCGGAAAAATTTTTTTGTTATACAATTGTTTATTTATTTTTTCGTAGCAAAATACGTTGTGTGCATAGAAAACATGTGTATTATTAAATTAATTACGTAGAAAAATAAAAGATATATATTTATATACGAGTACTCCAATTGTATTAATAATTACACACGCGTGTCCTGGCTGATTCAACCTCAACTCTTGCAATAATAATTTTCGAAAATGGGTGCTACCCAATATTTTTTTCTTTTTCGATAAATGCACCATCGATAAAAGCTGTAGCAGCTATATGCGTCGCCTCTTTATGACCTCTGCTGCAACTGTAGCTGCCACTGTACGTCTATAATACTCCACGTATTCGATGTACTGTCTATAATAATTGGAATAATCCATTTTATTATACGGAGTTAACTTGTTAGGTTAAGTAGCGTTAGCTTTTCAATGCTACTTTGCATTGCGTGGAGTGGGGGTAAAACGCCAGCTTTTCTTCGCTCCATGAAAAGGGAAGAGGCGGTAGCGTCAGCTTTTCAACGCTGCTTTGTGTTGTGATGGAGTGGGGGTAAACGCCAGCTTTTCTTCGCTTGCATGAAATTTCAGCTT